ATTAGTCAAACCATGCATCTAACACGCACATACCGTATGTTTAATTTCAATCAAGAAATGGTACATTGCCAACAAACTCTTCGGGTCTTCAAGACGAAACTAATGTTCTTGCGGAAGACTTACAGGAATCGCTGGATGATTTAATCACATCCGGGTTAGACCTGGAAGTTGATGGGTATACGTATTCACTGGATATTGGCGGTGTTATTGTGAGTGACGTCATACTGGTGTGCATGGACGGGGAAGTCCCCGCGACGAACGGAGAGTGTGGTAAGTACACGGCGTACATCAAGCGCTGTTTTAGTCGTTATATTAGATGTGAGTTAAAATGGACACCTTGCTGATCTACATCGTAATTCAATACATTGAAACATTATATAATCTGTCCACTGTAATTTTGATTACAATTTTCATAGCTGTCTGTCCCAGCGGAACGTTTACAAACGAAGACCAGAGCGCATGTCTTCTGTGTGGTCAGGATACATACCAAGAGAAGACTGGACAATTTGGCTGTTTAGAATGTCCGGAAGGGACTGTCACATTCGGACAAGGAGGAGACAACATTACAATGTGTTTAGGTGAGTCGCGGGTAACTTATATTATATTCTGTCAGAGAGGATTATTTTGATTACGTGTAATTATGCATATATTTTTATTGTATGTGTATGTAGAGCTATGTGACGCTGGATACCAATCTTATCATGGCGTGGAACCATGCGATCCATGTCCACTGGGATTTTATAAACAGTCCGACATGAACCCATGGTGTAAAGCGTGTTCTGAGGATTATCCCAATACAAAATTAGTTGGGTCGACATCCGATGCTGCTTGTCTCAAATCAGGTAAGTAAATGCATAGCAGTTAATCACATTGTTAGGCATGATATATTATAATACCAGCGTTTTAGTTTCTTGTGCGTGCTGAAAATACCCCGGTTATGAAGAACGACAATGTTCAGTTCTGTGCGTTTATTATTTGTTAGGAAACATCAATTTGTGATACTTTATATGTCTTTAGCAATCATTATGCAGTGTATCCAACCAGATATCTGGCTATATGTATGTATGTAATGTTTAACGATTCATAAATTTATGCACGGTTTATTCATGTCTAGATCACACTATGGACGATATTGGTATGAATTTGTTATATGCTACTATTGCGATCGGCGTATGCGGTGTTGTTATCATTATTTTGTCAGTTACTTACTGGCAATACAGGTAAGAACAAAGGAAGCTCGTACTAACTGGTCGTTATGACAACACATACATTACATACAATAATTTAACATATCATACAATAATTTATTCATTTGATTTCTAACATTACAAAATTTCAGAAAACGTATCATGAAACGAAAAGAAAGAAACCCAACGTTGGAAAACGAGCATATATTGGAAAGAGTGTTTGAAATGAAAGTTGATCAAATTGCCAATTGTCATTCACCAGTGCGACGACCACTAAATGGAGTGATGGACAGCCACTACAATGATTCTATCAGTAGTATACATGACATTCCAACGTCCAGTCCACGATATATGCCCAGACAAGTACGGTTTCGAGACGCCCCGTCTATCATATCATCGTCGCACTCGGAGACACACTTCAAACCAATACATTCAGCAATAGGTGAAGAAGTAGAGGAAGAGTTGAGTAGTTACCAAAGCGAAGACCGGAATAGTATGTCGTCATATCAAAATGATGTCAGTTCAGAAATGCTTGTTCTTTCTCCGTCGTCACTTCAAGATACATACTTCGATAGCGACCGACATATTCATGATTCTATACGATACTCGGCAACTAATGTTCCCGTGCAGAATCAAAATACTCTTCCCGAAATTCCCCCACCAATGCAGCAAATCGGTCTCGGGCAACAATTACAATCAAGCGACCCATCCGCCCATATATCTTCTCTGAAAATGGTTCTTTCAAAAATAATTTCAGAATCCAGCTCTCAATCGCAGTCACAGCCGGCGAGTTATCCGCCCGTAGATTACCATGACCATCGGTACTACGACAGGGTTCTGGCGAATCCCATCAGAGAACCCGACCTCGATATAATTCAAACAAGAGACAATACCACTTCCAATTGGACGAGTAATTTCCAACTCCGGCGAACACCAACACCGGAAAACACTCTAATAACATCACCAGAGCAGCAAGAGTATCAATTTGGAAGGCAGCTACTCAACGATCTTTCACATTCATATGCAGATTGCGACAATAACGAAAATACCATCCATTTATAGGGCCTAATATTGAGCAGCGCCCTCACACGTGCTTTTATTCTAAGACATCGACCGCCTCGTACATTAATATTTCTCCTCACGTCTTTGTATTTGAGAGTAGTAGTAGTACATTTGTTGCCAAAACAAAGTTTATTTCATGGAAAATCATACTATAATGTTTTATCGAGATGCAGTGTCGAAAAAATAAGTATTCAACATCCTCAAAATATTGTTATCAGTGAATAAGAAAGAAAAGCTGAATGCGAGTCTGTTAAAGGAACACTGTCGTCAGAACGTACTGCGCATTCGTCACGTCAGCTGACTAATACAAGGAATACACTATGATGACTTTTCCAGTCGAAAAAAGGCACTAGTTAACTGTGTAGTTTGTGTGATTTATATAAAACCATCCAGGCAACATACGTACAATAACAACAGAATATAAATATGCGCATGCGCAGTTTTGATGCCAGTGTGTCTTTAATATATATGCAAACAATTTATATTTATCATAGTTTTTTTATAAATATTATGTGAAAATTCAAATATATCTTATATTTATTACGGAATTTTAATTATATTTAAACAAATGTGAATGCCTGAATGTGAAATACATATCAGATATTGAAGCGGGATAGATTTTGGGTACCAGGAAACATTTACGCTTTCCACACACTTACGTTGACTGTAACAGTTTATGGTGTGTTTTTAAAGATTTGTAATTTCTGTCCAGAAAAAAAAAAGATTTACAGCTAACTTTTATTGAAAACGTTTTTGTATACATCAACCAGTAAATATTGCTTTGAGATTGCCAGATTCATCCAGTAACTGCATGGTCATCGCATGCACTAAACACTATTTCATAACTATTCACATCCTGAACATAACATTCGGGAACAAGTTAATGATTTACAAACCTAACATGCCGAATGTTACACTTAAATTTTTCCTTTCCATCTCTTTTTATCATTTTATCTTATTCGTGTTCTTTGTAAATGGCACGGATGTTACATTTGTATTCGTTTTCACTCATATCTCATATATTCAAGTCTCCTCCGTTTCGGCTAGACAATTATTTCTAAAAAAAAAATATAGAGAACCAACCAAAACATCTGCATGATCACCAAACTGAAAAAAATAATCTGTTCGAAATATCCATTCTATACCATCTATCAGTCCTTTATTCGAGAATCTAATTCAACAATATAATATAAATGATAGTTTTGTTCACAATTTAACCACGCCGAATCAATTATTCAAAGATCGTATTTACTCAGTACGTGTTCAGTCACGTTTAGGGAGTAGCACGTTGGCGTTAATTGCGAAGCAGGGGCCATCTAACAAGCGTTCGATCGGTTAAACATGTACTATTATTGCCTTTTTATTGTTTGCTGAATCAAATATGCGGATTGTTTTGTTTTCTTTTGTTTAATACTAGAACAATTTGGATGGCAACGAGTACTTAATACTGAATATATATATATTGATGATATTCAAATGAATAATTCCAAAACAGCTGTTTTGATATTCAAGTTGATTACAATGTACAGTAGAGAATATGTTTCAGTAGACTGCGTTTTAAAGATATGATTGTTTCTTTCATTATGACGCATTGTATATTTGGCGTGTGTATACATTTAAATTCACAGCCACTACTTTACTATACAAACAGTTTGCTATGGCTATTTCTTCTTTCTGTTTTCTCTTTAGTGGCACAAGTTATTAATATAACTGTGTCATTGTCTGTTATTTGCTTTATTTAACTTTATATAGAATTATTTTGACAAGTTGAAAGTTATTTTATGACTTTGTGTTTTTATACAGATATAAACAGATGTTTGTTTTTTATAAACTGTAAATATGTGCCAAAGAATTTCTCACATACTTGACTGCATTTTTAAATAAAATAATTAAAAATATGTTGTTCCTAGGTCGTGTAGAGTCATGTTCTATATAGTGTTCGTTTCATTGAGTTGTTAATGTCCCTGATTAGTAAGCATGAAGGAATGACAAACAATTGTGAGTACTATGAAGCACCGGATATACAGAGGTGGATGCAACTGGCGACATTTATAGACCAGTATGCGTTTAAATGAGTCAAAATAAGAGAGAGACGTCCGCAATTTACATTCAAGGTGCAATGTTTGTCTGCTCCAGGCGGGGACCTAGGTAAGTACAACTTAGATGTCGCATTACAAACATCAGCGCGCATGCTCAGTCTAAATATGATGTTTAAAAATGCTTTAAATCTATGACAGGAGATGTTAATGTATGTAAGCCCGGCTGGTCATGGCTTGGTTGTCAAGTCCTAATCCATTTGGTAAAGTTTCTGCGACAATCTGTAACTTACTTTTTTTTCAGACGCTATTTTAAATATTTATTTACAGTTTGCAATATTTCATTTACGTAAATATTTCAAGAGATAATCCCTCATATCAGCGTATTGAGATGGAATGTTCTATACAATTCTGAACTCAAACGCGCGTTTATTTAGTTACAAGCGATACAAGAACTCATACAGGCAAATAAACACTGACTACACTGCTTCGTCTCCTTTAAATTCTATCCCATATTCATAATTGTATTCAACAAAGTAATGAATTTGTATTTTCTTACGCCTTAGGCTTTCGATAATATTCTCATTATCCATACTCCTGTTTGCTGCGTGCATGTATGTATGGATTATACGTTACGTCACCATAGCGTCAGCAAGTAGGCAACCTGAGGTAGTTCCAAGTAGTGTGCTCACAGACACCAATCGTCATAGTAACAATGTAGCCAATGAAGTCAACGTTGTCATAGCTGCCGACTTTCAATATATTCAAGGTAATCGTGTATGATATGTGGGATCAAACTTGATCTCGCAATCATCGTCGAATCGCGAAATCTCATTGTCGTTGATGGCGTTTCGATGGGAAACTGTGCAGATGTGCGTTTAAATAATATGACAAATAAATATGTACGGCGGCGGACGCCTACAATTGACATCAGCATACGCAAACAACCGTTTATAGCTGGAATAAGATATGTATATATATAGACTGAAGACTGCCGCACGAAACGCCATCAGTGGCGAAAATGACACATTGCTGATAGTGTAAACATATCAGTGTTATTTTGCTTTTTTCTTGTCTATGTTTGTCTTTTAATAACTACGTAATCCCATCTTCTCCTCACGCTGTATTATTTCAATTGTGCATCTTGTCCACCAGGCCTTCCACCTTTAATCCATTCAATATTAGCAAATACAAGAAATCTCGACAATATCCGAATACACATCGTAGTGTGTGATTATCCAGTTGATAATCTGTTGCAATATCTGGAATGTAACGACATCCGGATTAACAAAACCGTAAGTAGTTAATGGCAGTGGTCGTCGCGCCACGCATGCGCGAGATATGGGTCATGTAAACAGCTCTTGCGAATTGCTGTTCAGACCATCGAATACAAATTGAAGGTTACCGAACTTTATTTGGGTAATTTTGTGTAGGTATCAGAAGGAATCACCGGCGTGCAAGTCACGTCCAGGTCAAAATTCGTACTCGGGATTTCAATAGAAAAACGCATTGGATTGTTGGAAAATCAATGTTTATTAACACAAATGTCACGCATGCGCGGCGAGATGACCATCGCCCTTTAATATTTGGTAAACATACGTTTCAGTGGAATGACATTGAGGGCGTTATACGCTATTCGAGTATTGTCTTATTGTTGTTGTGTTGTTTAGCTAATCATAGAATAGTTTCATTATTTGCATATAATTATCACCAACCTATTATTAAAATTCAGTTGCAAGTAACGCAGTTTACTGACTCTATTATTTCAACGAATATACGAGCGGCCTGGACTAAGATATTCATGGCACGGCGTCTGAGTAGTGTGTGTAACTATGCAAGGGCTTATCTGCACAGGTTGGTATAACTAATACAGTATTGGTAAAATTATCCATATAGTATGTGATATACTTGGTAAATATATACAGTATATCCTGTTTGACCGATAACCTTGTTTATATGCTGGCAATGTTGATATCACGTAATGTGCCATACAAACACGTGTATTATGAATTTAAAGTTATGTACACATTCCTTAAATTCATATAACATACGGTAGTAGTAAGTAAATGAGTATATAATGTATATTTCGAAAACACACCGAAAGTTTTGTATCACGAAAGATGATTAAAGACTTTCGAACACTGAACGATTACTTGTGAGAAATCATTTTAGTATTATTCAACAGTATGATGTGGATGGTTTTTTTTGTTTACTGGCAGTTTGTGTGTGTTTTTTAAAGTCAAATAGTAGTTATAAAATGACAATTTTGCAACGGTTTTTATATACCACAATAAAATAAAGTTAATTGTGTATTACATCTAGTTAGAGATAATGTTTCGCCATATGTCACCAACATTTTGAGCTACTGAGAAATATACTTGCCATCTTGCCAACGTTATCAGTACTGACTCTCTTCAGGTTACTACCAGGTGTGTCAAAGGTCATTTTCATCGATGCTGACACATTAGTGTTATCTCCAATCGAAGACCTTTGGGCGGAATCCAAAATACACAAGACACCGTTCCAAGCCGTCGCCAGGCTATCTAGTTACGAAAAAGACTTCATATTAAGAGACGTTTCCCCGATCTACCACAAAAGGTAATAATAGTCTTACTGGTCTTGAGACAGCGCCCCCTATGTCGTATATACTAGTACATGGACCTGTGTATATGCATAGAATTGTTGAAACCTTGGTTACAGCAAAAAGAAAGTTGGAAAGACACCGCGACATTGTCACGACAGGCAGGCACTGGATCTTGTTGAAACATGCCCAGTGTATTAATGACTGTGAACTGACGAATATTATCTGCATAACAGCCACCAGAAATATGGTGAATTCTCCGCGCAGTCCGCAGCATCGAAGTTGGAGATGAATTTCCAAAATAAAAACAAAGATTGCCGTTATATGTATACTAAACACTTTTAGGTTATGTGGTCTTATATTCCATAATATGCATTTCAATATAATTTTATGTCATAAATGTGTCATAAATTCGACACGTTTACCTCAGTGCACGTCACATTCAGCTAATATACTACTTAAATAATAAAACAGGCTTTGTCGTCATTGCCTGATTCAAAAATACTTTGAAACTTCCGTTTAATTCGTGAGCCAAATCTACTTCAAAAGTTGAGTTATTAAGAATTAGCAATTTACAATGACAACAATCGTCGTGTAGATAGTATCTCCTAAAGAGAGCCGACACTATGAATGCGTCATTTACATAACACTGCATAACATAAAGACTTTCCGTTTTTGACATTGTGAAATTCTTTCGTTTTTATGCAGAAAAATACAATATTTTTACCAAGTAAAATCATATCTATTAAAGTTATTGTTCATACATGAGTTGTTGAACACACTACATAGTTTATTCAGCTTATTCAGTCATAATTTAAGACAAATAACAGGCAAAATATAGAAAATATAGGAAATTATCTTTTTCTGTAATATTCTTGTGTAATCGGTAATTATAAAAATTATTGAGTGCGTACGAAATATATTTTGTTATGAATTTCTCTTAATATAAATTTCTGAATTATCTTGTCAAAATCAGTTTTTACAGGTTTTTTTCTCCCCAAAATCGAAAGAACTTCAAAGTGTCAAAAACGGAAAGTTTTTATCGTAGTGTTACATATGCCTACATAACAAACCGAGCTATTTTCATATTCCAATTTACTATGATTTCTTGCTATCTCAGATTCGGCACGTATATAAATGGATCACTGAATACATTCAGCGCAGGGTTGTTTGTGATGGATTTAAATTATTATCGAGAACACAACTTGGTCGATGAAGTAGAATTCTGGCTGATTAAGGTAAGTTTTTAATATCCATAGGTCTGTATTTTCTGGCGAGAAAACAAGAGTTTCGCCTATTTAGATACTTGTCTTAAATTTGTGATTATTTTTAATATTATTGTCTGATCATGGTGATCACACAAACTAGATTATGAATTATCCTAAAGTATATAATAATAATAATAATAATGAACATTTATATTGCGCTTAACCTAAATTAGCTCTAAATGTTTCTTTACATACAGCAAACTGAAAGTCGACATCCGCTATGGCAATTAGATTGTCAATCCATTTTTCAACTTGTATATTACAATAAATGGGATCGGCTGAGTGATATATGGAGTCGATTTCCTTCGTCTGTGATGTTAGACAACTTCAGTGGTATACGTGGGAGCATTCACTGGAGCGGAAAACGTGAGTTTTTATTGAATCATTTTAATCAACATAATGGGTATTTTTCACGTTTTTACAAAGGCATCGGTGAAAAAAAAAATTCTATTGTAGAGGCAATATGTGAAACCCACGAAAATTACGGGGAACTGGAAGCCATGCAGGTCAGTAAAAAACTATTTTTGGAATGTCTTTACAGCTAAACCATGGATGGAATTTGGGACATTTTCCAAAGCGTGGAAAAAGTACCGACCATCTGAGTGTTCCGGGCATGGCGTTTGTCAGAATGCTGAGAACCGGACTGACTGGTACTGTGCATGTAACGATTTCTACCACGGGACTCTGTGTCAACATAAATAGCCGGTTCACACTTACTTCCGAGCCTGCCTGGGTCAACACAAATAGCCGGTTCACACTGACATCTGCGTCTGCCCGCGTCAACATAAATAGCCGATTCACACTGACATCTGCGTCTGCCTGCGTCAACATAAATAGCCGGTTCACACTGACATCTGCGTCTTCCTGCGTCAACATAGATAGCCGATTCACATTGACATCTGCTTCTGCCAGCGTCAACATAAATAGCCGGTTCACACTGACATCTGTGTCTGCCTGTGTCAACACAAATAGACAGTTCAGACTTACATCCCTGTCTGCGATATGTTACAATATATTTCATGCTACACTTACTATACTATTAGCATTATAATATTACTATTCGTCCACGTGTACAAGTGTTTCCAATGTAGGCATCTTTTTCATTTCTAATATTTTTTCACGGTAACACACATTGTAAAATGGATGCAATGTGTGTATATTCAATTATTGAAATTGTCCATCATTGATGATTTTTATTCTTGTATTAAATTTTGCATTCCATTTCAAAGCCTATATAGCCTATATATTGTTATCGATTTTGCAAAACTAATCCTGTGAATGTAAATTTAATGTCGCATCACGTCTACCGTATAACTGTTTATGAAAATCAAATATTTGATTTATGTTTTATTGTGCTGTATAATTGACATGTAATATGGCATTCTCAATAATCCTGGTAATACATCTTTATGTTAATTTTTGGATCTATAATTATATATGTACATATATATTACTAGTAACTTGTTTATATTGAAGTAATGTAGTGTTTACATTTTGGTCGACGCCACGATGTTCTACCTAGGAGTGGTCATAGATAGTGTTAAATGCAACAGAACCCTTGATATTAAAGAAGCAATATTACTGGATACTTGTACTTTATAATATCGTTGTTTGATATGTTGATGAATACAAGTACATTGGACTGTGATTTATTATTGTAGTACAAAGCTGAATATATGTTCAAATCATGAATTCTCTGATGTTTGGTCATTTTTTGTGTATAAAACTTACCAATTTACCAATTTATTATGTAGAATATTTATTATCTTATTCACCGTCATAATAAGCACCATAGGGAGTGTCGCGTTTGGTGTTATAGTGCATGTTTACGTCGTACGTCTGACTTTACACTTTACACAATTTTGCAAATTGTGACATCATCAATTCACAGCGCCACCACACGATTTGCTTTGTATACTGGGTGGTTAGCAACGATGGGCAGGCACCAAACCTATGGCTTACTTAGTAGTGGTTATACATACCGAGGAATTTAGTACAATAATTTAGACTGAAACAATCGCAAACTGTGAGCTTGAGGAGAGCCGGAATATCATCAATAATGGGAGAGAAAACGTGTCCCCCTAGTAAACACTCTATATCTACTCATGGACGTCCATGGTCTACTGATGAAATTGATTGCTTCTTATTTTGTTTGAAATTCAGATTTAATGTGGATGCATTCATGTTTGCAATAAAATATAATCTTATGTATAATTTTAAGTGACACTAACTGGGATTACTTATTTGAGAAATCGCGTGTTTACAATTATGTGGTACAGTGCAACTATCTAAGACTATTTCTACTTGAATTGGCTTTCTCAATTGACCGCCATTTTAGCGGAGTGATTACAGAAGATATTCCAGAGTTCAATGACTGACAGAAAATACATCTAGTCATTTTTATATTTTTCATGTTGTATTTATAAATAGCCGCGACGGGTCAAATGAATTGAACTCTGGCCGTGAAATCTACCCACGGAGGCTACTGACGCGATAAAGTTTATTTTTGTTGATATAGTTCAAAACGTATACATAGATGCAACCCGCACATCCACTCCTATACTCCCCTTCAATCACGTGACTTACCGACTACTATTATACCATTCGGGTTTTCCACCCACTTGGCACGGGAAGCAGTTCTTTAAATATATTCTACGTATGCAATGACCCGGTACCGTAGAACGGATAGCGCATTCTGGTCGTGTGGTCTGTACCACAGGAAACATGGACTTTAAACGGGTGTAAAGACAGTCTAGCAATTCATATAGATGACTCGCTGTTTACTCTGATGATTGATATCGATATAACCTGGCGGACTGGTTAATTAATAATGAACTCGTGTTTCAAACTATTGATAGTGACGTAGCTGTCTTTGCCAACACGATACCTGTCAGTCGAGGTGACATTTTTCAATACGGCTGGTCTGTTTGAGAAGCTCGGTTACAGGAAAGATGAGCGGGCGAGTCGGTGACCTGAGCGAGGTACAGGAGACTAAATTAGAGCAGGTGAGTGTATACAATTATTTTATTGAAGTCATAATTCATCAACGCTGTATACAGGCGGAACATATGCTGACTGTGCCATATTTTTTTTATCAATTTGTGATAAAAAAAAAGGAACTGCGCAAATAAGTATCTCTGGTGTGTTGTTTACGACAATAATATACGGTAAACACAAGTTCAATCAAATAACCAACACAAAATTGCGACGAAATAGAAAATAATATTTGTCAAATATTAATTGTTTAAAATTCAGTAATACGTTATTAATAAATGCATAAACGGGAATAAACACGTTAACTTGTTGATTTTTCAGTTGAAGGGTCAAACAGTGAAAGGACATCCTTCGCTTATAAATCACTTAAACAATGCTTATATTACTTATCATGTCAATTTTTGTTTAAACACATCAATTTTGACCAAGTTGGTTGAAATAAAAAATACAAAATGTGACGTGTCGTTGTAGCTGGTACTGTTGGTTAAACTATGAACTGTAGTAATCGTACGACCATTGTTATGCGTTGATAGCTGTGGACTGTACTTTGTATGTACGTGCACATTAGTTATGACAATGTTATATCTGTGTGTCGTTATATGGGTTCCATAGTGCACTGGATTCACATATGGCGACAACACCTGTTTACATCACTCCAATTGACAGTGTACGCATGCTCACATGTGTCGTTCTATTTTTAAACACGCCAATACGTTCACCTTGCCGAATTATTGCAGATATAAATCACTCTGACGCATCATTTCTCTGTATTGCCAGTCATGGTCATGTGTTGAGTTTCAAACCATGCTATAGGATAATATTCTATTAGTTCAACCAAAGAGAACTGAAAATATCACACCAGCCATTGTGCCAGACTGGTGGTAGAATATACACGCCTTGTCATCAGGCTTGTGGCGTTGTATTATTATTGTTATTATTATTACTAGCATTAATGTGGAAAAGGACTTCAAGCATTATATATTATAAAACCAATTTTGTGAATATGGTTAACTGAATTATCAATCAATGTTCAACTGGACGTGCGAAGAACACAGCACGGGTTTTGTCTGTCACGGTGTATTCGGCGGTGGTGTAGACATCGGCTGTCGCGGCGTACTTGTGGCAGTCTGTCGGGTGTCCCAGAATATGGTCGAATGCACCGTTCCGCCGTGCTCTGGTCTAATAAAATATGGCCCAGTTTGTACAGTGTGTGCAAAAATAGACGGTGTTAGGCAACCATTTGCCAACTTAAGGAACACATCATGATGGTACTATAAAAACAAAAAGCTATTGCTATAGAAACTAATTATTGTCGAACTTTTTCCAGGATGATAGAGCGAGGTAGCCAATTGCGCATGCAGCCCTGCACTATGATCACTTTAACTGATGCATTCATGTGTGATCAACTGGTACAACCGTTCTCAAATTATCGATTATTCTTATGCAGTCACAGAGAGCACCATTCCCCTGATATGATTTGTATAGGTTTGTGGGTAGCTAAGGCGGCAGCAGGGTAGTATTTTGATAGGAAAATGGTGATGTCTATAACCCGACAAATAATGGTCTGAAATTTCCAAATGTGTTTGTTTAGGGACAAATAACTCCTATAATAATCAGATGTGATAAATGGGTAACATAAACAACAACAACTAATAGCATAACCAGGTTATTCTTGCTATCAACAATTATACCATATTAACGAATACGTCATTGTATGCATCATTTATATAATGGTGTCTGTTTCTTTACAATGTATAGTGTCACTGTTCAATCATAACCATTTTTAACGTTGTTTTAGTAAGTAATGGGGCATCATCTTACAACATTATCGAAAACCAGAACAATCGGACGATGACAACGCAATACCTATTAAGACGCTTTATGTATTTTAACAAACCGAAGTTGAATATTATCGAGAAAAAAAAACATAAAACGGAACTGTGACACTAACTGAAAACAAACATAGACAAAGGCTTCGTAGGTTTTGATCAGTTCAATCGCTGCCATGATCGATATTTGCTTAGTATTTTCAGCAAAAAATTCTCCAGCTACTTTAATTACATTTGACGGTTATATAAATTTGTGCAGATTTGGCGGCCATTTTGTGAAAACAAAACCTGTCGTTCACATTTTAATTTTTAAACCAAGACATACATATCTTATTTCTGATATTTCTGAATATTGCATTGAAAGCAAATAGCATTGTCTGAAGTTGTTGAAATGCTTACGGTAATTTATAATTCATGAGAAAATTGGTCATAAATCGCATGAGAGTGTTCATTGGTTTATTATTTAAAATTATAAAGCTATTGTGCCATGGCTCAATAAAATGGCATTTGTCGTGTGTTTACAATGGCGTGTTTGGTTTTGAGAACTTGTTCTAATATTTTTCAAAAAACGCTATTTTTTTAACAATACCATAGAACACAATGGTAAAAGAAAAAATGCATTTTCATCACTTTTTAATACCCAGATTTAAATAATTCAGAACAACAACAAAAGTACCCATCACCAAAAATATAGTAATTTTTCAGTCCATGTCACCAGCCCATAATATAATATAATATAATATAAAATAATATAATATAAGATATGGCATAATATCTGTACCATAGGAACCTATGGTAAAATCATTATAATACTGACAAAATGACAACTACCCATGCACTAAATACAACTATCTTTTTCCCGAAAATTAGGCTGGTGAACCCTGACCTTTTCAACATTCTTTTATTGCCTTGGGGTACAATTTATGGTAAAATGAACACATTTTAGATATTTTCATTTATAGGTCAGCTTTTACCATGACGTACCAGATGTTACTATTTTAAGGAAAAAACGCATTTATTTACTGAAACTGCGACTACAAAATTTGTCATCTACGCGAATTGACACCTTTCCTCTCAAACATAATACCTTTTCTTTTTTGTTAAACTTCGACAAATTGGGATCACCGTCCTAAAGGATGGTTTAGTTTTTTGAAACGACAAAATGAAACACTATGGAGGAACTGGCACAAAATTAAATGGTACTAAACATGTTTTGCTTCAAAAAATTCTTTTCAAAACTAAAACAGTGGTAAAATGAATAACATTTTTGTTGCACAATTCTGCATACATTAATAAATTAACTATTATTAGTTATATTATCGTTATGTCTGCAGTCCCGTCTACAGTCTATACTAAAAGAGTTATTATATCTGTGTACAGCTGGGCGATGTCCGTGTATGTCTCGGTACGTCACGTGTCATACTTTACTCAATAATGATATTAATAAACAAGTTCACCAGTATAATAAGACAATTCGCTTGGCATCGATTTAGTGAACTGTGGACAGGATTACCTTTAATTCAAATCATAAGATCTATAGCAGAACAGAAGAGAACAAGCAAATAAATGTATAAGTTAGTACAGCTGTTTTTTTCAGTGTTAGAAAAGTGCTGACTTCCACTGTATATCACTTATATATTTATTTAATGTTAAAATTATTCGACAATTCACACATCATGGTAAACTTTAATTTTTATAAACTATAATATACGTGGCAACTAAAAATTGAATGAAGCCTGTGTAACCCAAATCTTCGGAGTAATACTGGGTTCAGATGCCACTCATTAACTACATAAATCATCTACAGTTGTAACAGCTGATTAGTTGTGATTAATTGATTTGATTTGCAGGTCATGTCGAGTCACGAGGATCGTGCTTTGCACATATTTTGTTTTGATGCATTTCTTTTTCGTTTGAAAAAATCGAAAACAGCTAGTGATTAGTTGCATAACAGCCTACTAATTCATCGGGTCTGGCAGTTGCACGAAAAACACACAATTTGGTGACATGCTTTCTGTAGTATAAGATTCACGGCAATCAACTTGAAGATGAATTGTAGATATTCGAAACAGGTATTTTTGTACAGGTGATGACGTAATTTCGATGATACTATCTGGATCTGCTTCAAACAGGAAATAACTCGACCTCCATATTTAGCCATAATGATTCATGTCACATTTCAGTATAGGGCTTAGACGTAAATATTTGTGTTGACAACGAAGATCAATAATGTAGTGATAATTGTTAGTTACACATTTGTATTAAACTCGAGTAATGTACGTAGTTGTTAATTCAAGTTAACAGGACGAGATAAAAAAAACAATATATATTAAACCGAGACACTCATCGGATGATGCTTTCGAAAACATTATTGGATAATTTACGTAAATACAAAATAATATTTACTTGTTTTTCAATAACTCAATGCCAATTACATAAAAGCATTTTTGATTAGGTTTATTTGCATTCTAAACCCAAATTCAACCCTAATTAATAGCTAAAGTTAAATGATGAACTCGTACTATTTCCAATCTTTCTAGACTTCTTCTCATAAACAGCGCAAACTCTATGCCAAATCGACTCCATGACTGTGGTGTTTGCGATATAATTTATATATAAATACAAGGTTTTCATTCGCCTCAGTTCATATAAACCTATTGTTGTTGCTGCACACTAAGTTACAGTGGGAATATGTTTCGTAACACACTTTGTATAGATGTAGAGCAAACCTTCCGTCACTAATATTTTGCCTCCTCCGTTAGTTAAGTCAGTACGAGACTATCAAAACGATATGATGATATGTGGTTTGGATAACATGTGTCGCTACTTGATTACACTAAATACACTTTCATGGAAGGAACTAACCTTTGCTACGTATGGTTAGCTGTATAAATGTATCATGCTGCTTTTCAGGCCTTTCACTCCCAAGAGTGTAAACGTCATATGCATATGTATTCATATGCAGATTGTAAACTGCTATGGTTGTATTCATATGCAAATATATCGGATTCGATGTTTCTATGTCACGTGCAAGGGTAACACTAAGGGACAGCGGTTGTTGTTTGGGCCTAATAACCACTGCTGCCTCGTGGTGTTCCCTATCTGTACAATGGCCGATTCAATTTAACTTGAAGTAACGACCATGCCAACAGCCTAGATCTCATATTTTTACGACTCCACTGCCTTCATTAACTCTATCCTTTCAACAAGAACAACATTGAAACTTTCGGTCTAACTGTTGCAGCAAGTAATACTGGGCAATAGAACCATGGAGTGTCCCAAATTACTACAGGAAATCACCAGATGCGATGCTGTCGCCTATTAGCTACTGGCGCCGTCAATCACCTGGCCGGTGAATAAATTGTTTAATTACGTGGGTGGTCGTGATGAATCAATCTTTCACTATTGTTGTCCTGCATAATTTGTTTTAAAAGAAAAATGAGTAGTCACTTGTTGAATTCAGAAATGGCTCCATGTCGGCTATATTCAAATACACTGATAACAGAACAATGAACACGCGATATCATGCAATGGTTTCTGTATGCATATATGCTTTTCCATTCTCTTTGCTCTATAGTGATTCGTTTCTGAATACGTTCTCTATTCTTATGCAGTTTAAAACGAATGTTGCAGATATAACGAAGCCAGAACACGATGACTATTATTTTCTCCGATGGCTTCGAGGTGAGAGGATATGATGTAATATAATACAATCATTATGAATTATACTCGTATGACAAGACAATCATAATCTAATGAAAACGTCATGAATAATGATCATTGTTATTTCATCAATCTTAAAACAAAACTATGTGACTAGATGATTATATATTTGAAATTACAGTTTATGTTAATTTCGTACAGAGACACACACCAATGTCAATTTGTGATCACGTGTTCTATTGTACATTACAGCCAGACGGTTTGACTTACCCAAAGCAGAAGCCATGCTGAGAGCGGTACGTATGGTTCAGATATTCATCGTAGTACATGTCAGGGGAATTCAAGAGAATCGCTGTCTCATTTACTGTAACATTAGTAGAACCCATCACACTGTAATATAACATATACCAATAAGTGAATGAATACATCAGCAAGTTGCCATGCATACGTATATACAACAATTGTTTTATATTACCTTCAATGTAGCACATGGAAACCAGGGAAAAGATGAACTTAGATACTATAATAGATGACTTCCAAGACCCAGAGGTATGTATATTGTAACCCTTACACGGCATTGTATTACAACAAACACATTGGTTAAACAATGCATTGTGTATATATTGTTCTATAACATTAGCATGTGTACGTTACAGGTACTTGTTAAGTATTTTCCAGGCGGTATTGTAGGACCGGACAGGGAAGGGTCACCGGTGTACATAGATCCTATGGGCAATGCAGATTCCAAAGGTAATATATATGAGATTGTTCAGTCATCACGTCGCTGGTTATTACTTTGGTGCGAATTGTTGATTCTAATTTCACTGCCCGATTTCTATAAAATCATTACGTATACGTAATTTAAATAACACCATTACAAAACATTATGTATGTTCTACCGTGTTGTTAAACAAATATTTCATTATATTTATTCATTAGTTTGTTCGATTGGACTATTTTTACTCTTTCCCCTTAAATTCTCGATGTACTGAATATGCATGTGATATGTACTGATCCAGTATATCATGTCGTATTTCTTTTATTAGGTCTTATGCGTTCTGTTAAAAGCAAAGATATATTGAAATGGAGGATGAAATTTTCGGAAAAACTTTACAGAGAAACTCTCCCCGAAATGTCTAAGCAGGTACCATGTTTGTTTTAGAAGCACCACACATCGCTATACTATTAAATACCAAATAGTAGATTATGCAAACCATACAGTGAACGTTAGTATATGTGAAGGTACGTAGTCATAGCAGGATAGTATATGATGTCTCGCTTATTTTACAGGCTGGCAAACGTATAGAAGGGATGGTATATATTGCAGATCTTGAAAAACTCGGTACAAGACATTTATGGAAACCTGCAGTTGATTTATGCATTACTGTATGTAGTATGTGTTATCTACGCTAATATTATGAGACAACTTTCTTGTGTCCACGCCATTAATATCGCTTTCCGACTTCACAATTACACTCATGTGAGTTGTACGTTCTAGTGTAATATTAAATACTACGTTCTATTATGTTACTTTTTTCAGTATTGTAAACTAGCGGAATCCAACTATCCAGAAACCATGAAATCTATTTACATAGTGCGATCACCCAAGATATTCCCCGTCGTATACAAATTACTTAAACCATTTATAGATGAGGAAACAAGAAAGAAAATTAAAGTTCTAGGAAGTAAGTTTTTCGGAAATTGTTGAAATGTTTCCGTCCAACACGATATATAATTTAAGTCATTTTATGATTGTCACATGTATTCGCCATTTTTGTTTGTCATTCAAATGTTTTTTTTTTGTAAATACTCTTTAACGAGAGTGTTTTTATTTGTACTACCACAATCTATGTTAGAAATAGTTGACCTAAATTCAAGTTAATATACTAGCTACAAGTACCGAATCAATATTACTCTCCTTGCAATGCGAAAACAAATTCAAATTACTTTGGGTATTAACACCCCCATCATCGCATTTATTTGTATTCTACAGACAACTTTCAAGACGAATTACTGAAAATCATTCCACCAGAAAGTTTGCCAGTTCATTGGGGTGGTACTATGCAAGATGAAGATGGAAACAAGATGTGTCCAAGCAAGGTTAGATTTATGAATGCAAACATTCTACACAAACAACACACTCGTCATATGTTCCATTAATTTGACATAAAGGCCATTGGCCCTAGATCAGTGTATTAATATAACTCGCAGTTACAAAACACCATCAATATAATAATAAAATTGAATTCTCACAATTATTTACAAACACTCAACATAATGCTAGTAAAGATATATTGATGAATGGGAAAGTGAGATATATTCTAATCCAGTTCAACTTCGTATGCACTGAGGCAGGATTTACTGTAAAAGAGAAAAAAAGGCATATCTGTGCCACTTAAATATCTATTAAATAATGATACTGGTACACGTTATTGATACTTGTTCAGAAAGGAGAAAATAAAATAATAAATCAAATAGAGTCACATTGTTAAACAAATCGAGTAATCAGTCTATTATCTAGTAGGAAACTGTACAGAGGGGTGTTATGAGGGCGTAACCTGTTGTGTTAGCAACGTTTAAGTTTGCAGCGGGGAATTACGGCTAGTATCACCATGACTTTATCCATTATTGCAAGAAATCACCAGCTGTAACACAGTCGCCGATTGACTACTCACGCTGTCAATCACTTGGCTTGTGTACAAATGACGGATAACGATGACAAGATATTTTATTATGTATTTTATAATTGACAAGCATGCCAAGCTAAAAGAAAGTCTTGAATATCATTTTTGTTGTGTTAGGAATATATTTTTTAAATGACAATTGTATGTATTAATTCCCCAAACTTTTAAGTCATATGACACGTGAGAAAACACAATAGCATTGTATGGTAATACCACCGATGATGTTGAATTTACTATATAAAGAATTTACTAATTCTTTTTTAACTGAGAATTTTTCACTTGTGCATGATAAATATTTTTTCCGACTTTTATTTTGCAGGTTTGTTTAGGCGGTGAAGTGCCAAAGTCATATTACTCACAGGAAATGATAATACCTGACGAACAGCAACTAATACAGTCGTCAGTTAAACATGGCTCACGAATAGATATCCCATTAGATGTCAAATACCCGGGAAGCATAATCAGGTATATACTATTTGCTGTTACAATAGCATAATGTATTAATTTAATTAATTAATTATTGATTGGATGTATTATATACAAATGGAATCGAACTGTTTCATAACCTAATTCATAAATATTAAATTTTAGAACTTTATTTGCATAATTATGATTGTTTTGCATAATAAATAGAACATAAGAAGTACTTATCCCGATTGTCTCTATATATGCTCTTAAACAACAACTTGTGTCGAGACACTAATGACATACTGTAACCATCAATACATTGATTATAGCAGCTCTAGGAGAAAGATTGTGGCAAATTATAATATTAGCAAATGTATTATATTTATTTCATTTGCTAGGGAAATGTCACTGGCCATTGTGTTTCGTTGACATGGGTGTTATTATACACGTCCACAGGCACACCAGACACCATGTGAATTGAACGATGGTTCAACTGATGCTCGATGGAGACCCCATCGCGATCCTTATACATACGCTCCCAACATTGATTCCAAACCCACACTTACACGATGCATTGACACACAATGACGGTTTACTCGCATTGCTATCAATTATCACAACAGTGTTTGTATAAAAGTTAATAAATCTCCCAGTCAATTTACATGTTTTAATAGGTCCCTGGGGAAACGGTGATTCAGTGCTTATAAATTATGCAAATCCCAAATCAGCCTCGCCTGCCTACATTCAACTAAATTTACGCAGGTACTGACATAGACATACGACTGGTATATAATTATATTTCCATGGTAACAATTAATCCTGACATGTAGTCAGTATTAAAAAGGGAACACTCTCACTATGTATGACAGGCTGGCATGGCTGCCTAATAGAGCAGTGTCATCTATGTCAGTGGGGCTACATATGACATGCTGCTGTTTTCGTGCCAGTGTTTTATTTTAAAAATACTGTTTAATTCATGCATTTCTTGTTGGATTTTAATCAACCAATCACAGATGGGTATTCACAAGCCAGGATAGTCTACAATTTGGTATATTCTATAAAGATAATGAGGAAAACAAAGATGTAGAAATTATGGCAGTAGAGAAATACAACTCGCATCTGGTCTACGAGGACGGAAGCGTTGGCTGTGTTAAAGCTGGATCATGTGAGTACTAAATGTGGTAGTGTTATGCGTTGACACAATTCATAACTCACCAAGTAACTCCACGTTAGGTTTGCTGTCAGTAAGCATATAAACAAACCATGTGCATGTTAGTAATAACTGTTCACTGCTTTGTTCACATGCATATTACTACCAACCTGTTTTGTTCACATACGTGGTAGTAATACACAGTTTTGTTCACGTGTGTATTAGTAATGCCAAGTTTATTTATATAAAGTTTTTTACATACATATTAGTGACATAGTTTATATGCATATTAGTAACACCGTTTTGTGCATAAAGTTTTTGTATATGCAATTTAGTGAATGTTCATACATGTCTGACAGTAAAAAACTTGGCCAAGTTTCAATATTTTCGGAAGTTTTACTTTTTCAAATATTGAGACAGACGGGCCAAGTGAGAATATTCTTACGAATACACGGAATGCATCCTTCGTCAAAATATACACAGTGCATCTTGCATCAAAATACACACAATGCATCCTTCGTCAAAATACACACAGTGCATCCTGCATCAAAATACACAGTGCAATCCTGCACCAGAATATACACTATGCAT